TTTGAATTGGAACCTATGAGTTCTGGATGTTTCATTTTGAATATGATTTTGTTCATTGTTTTTCTGCAAGTATTGTCTTTTTGAACAGTGAAGGCCTTTTTAATTTAACCAACAGTCTCTTGTTGCGGGATAATTTTGGAGCAGTTAAGAATGATAAGACAAGAGCTGGATGTGGTGGCCCATGCCTATAATCTCAGTGCCTGGAATAGCTGAGACAGGAGGATTGCAAGTTCAAAGCCAGCTTCAGCTACTTAGTGAGCTCCTCAGCAACTTAGTGAAATACTGTCAATCAATCAATCAATCAATCAATAAAAAGGGCCAGGGATATAAAGAGTCCCTGGGTCAGATCTCCAGTACCAAAAAAAAAAAAAAAAGGAATTAAAAGACCTGAAGCTGAAGGTCATTAGGTTCAAGTTGATTGTGTAGTTATGTATGGAGTCTAGAGCATGGTTGTATGGATATGAATTTTGGACTTGAGGGCTAGGGGTGTAGCTCAGTGATAGAGCACTTGCTTAGCATGCATAAGGCCCTGTGTTCCATCCCAGCACCTAAATAAATATTGGGCTTTGCCATTTAATGAAAATGTGACCTTAGACAGATTACTTAACCTCTGTGAACTTCAGTTTCTTCATCTATAAAATAGAACTAATAGTAATAATAATACCTATACTGTATGAAATATCAAATTCCAGCCTACAGAAAGAGTGTGATCACAGGTACAGATGTGATTTTGGTTTGGAGCTAGTGAGTAGACCAGTGTTCATTCCTAGAGAGCCTTTTGGAGGAAGGTACAATGTAGCACCCACTGAAGCAGGAAGCAAGAATTAAAATGGGGCACTGTTTAGGCCTAGGAGTTTGGAATCTGTCCTGTAAGATTTTGGGGAGCCATTGCAGGTTTTCTGAGCAAGAGGGCAGCATTAACAGAAGAACTGTTTGGGGGACCAACAAGCTGGTGTGTGCAAGACAGGCTTTTGATATAGCCAAATCCATTGGGAATATTGTATAAAATGTCCTAGGTTGGAATGAGAACTTTACTTGAAGTTGGAGAAATGGAAAAGAAAGGTAGAAAATATTTGACAAAGGGAAGATTAGCTCTTGGAAACTGTTTACACAGGGACACTGACAAAGGCTAGAGCGCAGATGCAGAATCAAAGTCAGCTGCCCTGGGACCCTCTCTCCCTTCGTACCTTTAAGGGAACCTTCTTGATCATATCCCTGACATCTAGTTCTTCCAGTGTCCCGTATCTCACACCTTAATGCAATAGCCCAGTCCATTTTACATAGGTATTATTATTTTAAAAAGTCTTTCCTAATATTGAGCTCACAGTCTTCTGTCTTACCCATCTGGAGGGTCTATACCTGCCTTTTGGGGCAATGGAGAAATAATCTTACAACAGCCTGAAATGCAAAGATTGAGTTCCTTTATAAGATGGTGTATTCCTGTTTGTGATGTCTCTTCTTTCTTAAAACTAGAAAACCCAACCCTGGTATAACTTCACAGGTATCATGGTTTGGATATGAGGTCTCCCCAAAAAGCAAGAAGGGGACAATGCAAGAAGGTTTAGAAAAGATTGGGTCATAGCCTTCACCTAATAAGTGAATTAATCCCTGATGGGTTAACTGAGTGATAACTGGAGGCAGGTGGGGGTGGCTGGAGGAAGCAATTCATTGGGGATGTGACTGTAGGGTATATATTTGTATCTGGTGAGTGGAGTCTCTCTCTGCTTCCTGATCATCACATGAGCCACTTACCTCTGCCACACTCTTCCACCATGATATTCAGCATCACCTCAAGCCCCAAGGACTGGAGCCTGCTGTCTGTGGTCTAAGACCTCTGAAACTGTGAGCCCTCAAATAAATTTTTCCTCCTGTATAATTGTTCTGTTTATATCTTTTAGTCACAGTAGCAAAACTAAAACAACAGGGAATGGTTCCCTGAGACCCTCAAGGAGTTCTTAGGAACTGTCTTAGGAAGAGCTTGTATTGCTTTGTACTCTTTATACCATTGAGTTTATTGGGCACTGATCATGTGGCGCCAGGCCAGGGACTCTGCAGAGAAGGTATGGTTGAAGTCACAGAAGCTGAGCTCTCTAATGCAGAGAAAAAACAGGGGCTGGGAACTAAATGGAAAGAGTGGCCAGGGAGGCTCACAGGTACCCTTGGCACTCTGTGCTTTTTTCTATTAGCCTGTTATCATGGGGCCCAGTGGGTATGATAGAGGAAGGCTTTTCTGGAGCAGTTCAGTGTGGCAAGTATTTGCTGCCAATGTGTCATACCCACTGTATCCCAGGTGCACTTCAGGCATGAGGGATGCAGGGGTGAACTAGAAATGCAGTTCTAGTGAACCTGCCCTGGTGTCGCTTACATTCTGAGTGGAAGAAAGATTAATAAAGCAACTTAATTGTGTTGATAACTGCTATGAGGAGAAAACTAAGTAAAAGATTAGAGATGGGGTGAAATTTTAGAGAAGGCAATCACAGAGGGCTTTCCCAAGAAGGTGACCTTTGAATAAAGGCCTGGGTGAACATAAGCCATATGGATGAATAAGTCTATATGGGGGATATTCTTCCAAGCCAAGAGAATGGCAAGTATAAAGGTCCTGCTGAGAGGCAGAAGTGTCATTGGAAGGTTCAAAATGAGGCCAGTGTTACAGTGTCATTTCATTGTAGTGCTCTTTCCCTGTGAAATAGGGCACAGTGAAGGAGAAGTATGGGAACAAGAGATGCCCTTGGAGAGTAAGCCAAGGGCAAATCACCGTAGGGCCTCGTATTCCTAGTTTTTCCTCCATTGACACTGTATGTTGAGTTTCACACTTTTGTAGACTAGTCCTCATACTTTTCAGATATCTTCTATTTGAGTCTTGGATTCTGTGTTTTCTGTTTGTAAGTGGTAATTCCATAATCCAGTTGATTTCCATAACATCCAATGACATAAACTTTTTCTTCCCCATCATGAGGGAGAAGAATTTCCTATGCATTGCATTATCCAAACTTAGCAATAAAAGAACAGGTGAGATTTATCCTAAATATATGCTGTTTTATTCACTGCAAGTGTAACCCCTTTCAAATATCAAGATGGTTGACATAATTCTATTACACTGAAGACAATCTGGTATCTGAAGGCCTTTATGATTTGACCCAATTGGTGAGATGGTATCCTGCCATCTTTCCCCTCTCTATGTGAACATTTATGCCAGAAAACAAGGACTTATTCTGTTCCAGACATTGTCATGACATTTGTAAATGATTCAGACCCAGGAAAACACACTGCATTTCACACTGCAGTGAAATGTTATCAGAGTAAGTTTTTTCATCAGAGTAAGCATGGGAAGGAGGCTGTGAGAGCTTCCATCAGTACTTGAGAG